AGGAAGCAGTCGAAGAACAGGTGATTCGGCATAAAGTGGAGATTTTAATACATGGTGGCTTGGAACCTGGAACCACGTTGACAGGGTATGTTGATTTTTTTTCCTTCGACGGGGGGGGGTGGGTTGTTGGAGAGGTTGGGGGGGGAGGTGGATGGGTTGTTTTTGGGGAGGTTTGGGCATGATGCTGGGGAGTTTGTCAAGTTGATTGGGGAGGTTGCGGGGGGTGGTGGTGAGGGTGGTGAGTGATAGGTGAAGGTGAGAGGTGAAGGTGAAGGGTCAAGGTGAGGTGAGATGTGACGTGAGGGGTGAATGTGGACCAACCAAATGTGTAGCGAGCGGGCCTGCTATGGCAGCGTGAGCTTCGGGGCCATTCATGCACGAGCTCTGTGATGGTGGGCTTGTGCCAATATGTGGCACAGCCACGCTGCCCAAGTCCCTTGTGCCTGCCGAACAACTAGTTGCCTCAAACTTCCCGATTGCAAGATGTTCATAAAAGATTTCGTCGAATTGGGAACTGGTTTTGGACTGGCGAGTGTTTTGCAACAGGAGCTTAACCAGTTGAAGGGAGCAGCCGCAAGCCCTTGTGTTTCCTCTCTCCCCGCATCCGAGCCTTTGCCATCTAGAGCTTCTCAAAGACCAGGGCCGCCAAAGACAGCAACATCGCCTCAAAGAAAGTCGCATCCTGATCTATTTTTTCACAGTTTCGGATCGAGGTTAGCAAGCATGGGTAGGTGTATAGCCGATGCAGGATACGCCCTCTTTCAAAACTCCAAGGTCGTTGTGGGAAAGTACAGAGGCTCAGTTAACAAAGCAAGTAAGCTTCTTACTACCACAACTGGACTTATTATTGCTTGTGTGGCTTTATGGTGAGCCATTGGTGCTATGGTGGATGGTAGGAAGGCTGTGAGAATAGCTGAGTGGACGGCTAGGAAAGACTACTGGGAGTTCTGTGAAACAGTAGGTCAATTTCAAGGACACACTTTGTCGTTACCATAAGCTAATTCTTCAAACAGATTGAAGACCAGGAGGACGGGTGTGACAGAGTAACAAAAGCACCCCTGGGTCCACCGCCACACACGTTCTTTGGAGACAATCAACAAATGGACTACTGGCTGGAGAAGCCGGAGAGCTCCTGCCTGCCCAGTCACCTGGCACCGGAGTAGCAAACAGCTCGGGTGTTGACTTTCACCATTCTTCCATGACAGGCACTTCACGCCGAGCGATTTTTGGCAGTGGGTTGGAAACCAGTTTTGACTTCAAGCCCACTGCAACCACTCTTCCTTTACTCCGAATGGACACCGGAATGACCTCGGCCCTCATAAAAGCCGACGTATCTAGACGAGAGGGGGGCCGGAAACGTCAACGGAACCAGTTACATCTTTACGTCACTGACATACCAAAACTGTCTCTGGAGTCTGTGGAATCAGAAGGACATCCTACCCACAGGGTAGACCAGGTGGAAAATATATCTACAGAGTCGGATGCTCAAATACGTTTCCGCTCACTACCGGCTGGGTCGTCAATCTTATCTTCACAGAGTCCAACTTCAGTTCCGTCACCTGTTCGACCACGACTTCTGCCGTCAATCCCGGCGGCAATCTGGCCATCGGACCTGCCGTTAATCCAAGCATCAACTCCTCTGCCGGGGTTCTCTTGTCGTATCTGCAAGGCCACACTGAAATTAGGTTTTGATGAGCCACCAGAACATCCCTGGGATCACAATAATTGTTACTTTGTTTCTTGGTGCTTGTCATGCATTGATGAAGCTCTTTATGGGCTTTCTCACCAGCGCGTAGACAGTCCTCCTCATGGTATGGTCCTACATATCAATGATATTCTCAGAATCAATGCGGAAACAACAGATGATGGTGGTGAAGTCGACACTGTCCTGACACAGATCTCATGGCAAAGGAACTTCAATCAAGTTGTCGAATCTCTCCTCTATCGGATGTACTTTGTCTACAATGGTGATGAAAAGCACGGGGGGCCGCCCTATCCTGATGATGTATCCAAAAAGCGCATGGTTGAGCCTTGGATAGATGAGATTGGTGGGATTCTGTGTTACTGGAGGAGGGTGGAGAAAGAGGGAAGGGCTCACTAGGCCCAGCGGTTCAGAGTCAGGGACCATATGACAGATCAACAGGAGGAATTCGGGTGGGTGTTGGATACTGCCTACAGCTCTATATTTAGCCACCATTCGGGTCTATTTACCAAGCCTAAAGCAGAGCTTGAAGAAGAGGTCAAAACAAAACCCGAAACAGCGGGAGCCAGAAGCAGAGCAGAAACAGAGCAATGAACAAGCAAGGAACAGAACAAGGAACAGAGCTAGAGGCCGGGACCGGAACAGAGACAGAAACAGGCCGGGGGGCAGAAGCAGACATCCAAGCCGAGCTCCAAGCCGAGCCAGAAGCAGAGCTTGAAACTGAGCCAGGCTTTCTCCTTAGCGGCCAGACTATAGGATAGAATGAGCTCGATAGCTTGTTCAATGCGGGAGGTTATATGTCCAAACTTTTAGTCTTTATAATCTAAGCTTTAGACGTATCCTATCCGAGCTTTTGGCGTACAAAAGGATCAAGCCCCCACGCCACTTTAGGTACCTACCTAGGTAGGCGCACGTTATGCAGGTAAGCTGTAAAAATGCACCGCCACCAGCAAGGCAACCGCATGTCACCTCGAGCCAGATGACTTCGTTAACGTGCTGAATAACTCGACTTTCTCTATGCCCAGCGCTCATTTTATATACTCCGCAACAATCGCATCAGGTTGTGAGGGAGTGAGGATGCCAGAAGTGGTCCAGCCGATGGTGACTGGACTTCAGGCACCCCCGCCATCTGCGTCCATTACAACCCCGACCCCAACCCAAACGGCTACAACCTCATTCGACAGAATATCAACCGTATCGGAACACAGTACTGCCTCATCCTGTCTATCACCCTCAGCACTCTTCCATTATGTCAAACAATCGAAATATGTCTGTAACGTGTTTCGGTATTTTCAATTTTCGACCTGTGTCCTACAGCGGGATAGAAGACGCTGCGCTAAAAGTGGCAACATGGTCTTTGCACTTGGAGGATTCCTCATCGCTTGCATAGCGCTTTGGTCAACAATCCGCGCCATGGAAGATGGTAGAAAAGCTGTCAGCCTCGCGGAGTGGACGGCCAGGAAGGACTTTTTTGAGTATTGCCATTCTGCAAGTCACTTGGCAGATCCCGAAGGGATGAGTTGAAATAACCCATGCTAACGCTCCTCTGTTTTGCAGACTGGATATAAGGAGGATAGTTGTGATAAGATTAAAACAACATCTTTAGGGCCACCACCGTTGAGCGGAATGAGATTGAAAGCACGAATGCTTCAACAGACCGTGACCAAGAGATTCGATACCTTTCCGGGCTCCTTGGTCATCCTTGCTGGATTTCCTCTCATGATGAGTGTCTGGGTTTCCTCTAGGAAAGCCCTGAGAAAGCCTTTCAGAAACCGACCGTGTTCGAATCCCGTTATCTTACAATATGAACTGGGTTTGCTCGCTACCACGGATCGGACTCAGTTTATCCAAACAAATAGAAAGGTGTTAGTTCCCAGGAGCCGAAAGCCCCTTGCCCTTACGACTGGAAAACAAGTCACCCCCGCACTGACTGTCAGCCCTCTCGACGGGATAAGCAGCAGCTTCGACTTCAGCCTGCGTGCTGGAGTAGCAGTGGGTAAAAGCTTCGACTTTGAGCACCCTCCAGACCCGCTCCAGAATAATCTTGGAGCATCATCAGCACTCAAAAAAGGCATCCACAACCCAACGCATCGACGAAAAACCCGGAATCAGAGCAGTCTTGCTACTGTACCAGTGGCCTTGACTCCAAAGTCCCAACTTCTACTGTCACTTGCACCGTGCCAGATTTGCAGTTCGAAACTGGACCCAATTGTCAGCGATGAGCTTCTGACATGTTATCCTGAACATAAGAAGTCACATTTTGCGGCTTGGTGCTGGCCTTGCAGTGCCAAAGTTGTGAGAAGTCAACTTGCCTTGGACTCCTATTTGACGTGCGGCCATATGACTTGCGGAAAGCCTCCGCCGAAGGGGCTGCATGAAGATATTGGAAGTTTTCTAATGGAAAGCGAGCAGGAGTCGGAGACTGTGGATCGTGGAGGCGGCAAGTGTGAATCAGCTGGCGCTTCCATTATGAAACGCAACTGGAACTTGTACGGGCACACTTCATATGACGCACAGCTGATTCGCACGGGTACTTACATGGGGCGAAAGGGCAAGGGAGCGTCCTGGTTCAACGTGGGTGGTGGGGTTATTTGTCGGTGGGACTATTATTAGACCAAAGGCATACAGATATCACACGTGGCAACGCCCCTGGCGCTGTTCATGATGGGATTAAAGATACGATGTCAAGCCATGTTGTTAATACTCTCTCGGTAACTACCTTATGAAAAGAAATTGTCAAGCCAAAAATGCAGCGAGCTCTCAGATCTACAGATGCCGGCTACAGCACATCCAACATGGCTACCCCTCCTAGCATCAAACCCCTGGGTGCTCTATGTCCCCATCCAACACTCCCCAAACACAGCTGTCCTATTGTCAAAATCACAAAAAGAAAGAAACCTCTCACCAAGATTGGGGCCATATACCCCATCCATCACAGGCCCCCTCAGTGGCTACCTAGCGACACCTCCTCTTGCCCCCATCTCTCTTGACACCATCGTCACCGCCGCCGCCATTGACCCGACTGGCGGTGCCCCCCCTGTGCTGCGTCATATTCGAGTTCCCCTAACTCCCGTACCTGTTCTATGTACCACCAACGCTTGGCCCACCTCCATTCGAGTGGTCTATTAGCGGATTACCCATCGTCTCTTAGCCTTCCTTAAGAAGCTTCTCCAACTCCTTCTTAGCTCCCTTTAAATCCAACAATGTGTCCTGTAAATCGTCATCAGCATTCTGTCTCCGGGCTTTGTCGGTCTGCCATGCTTGATCACATGGCAGGAGTTGGTGCTTGTACTCTGTGTAAGTAGATGTCATGTTGGCTCGCAACGGGACTTGTTGAAGGTATTCCTTGCGTGGTGTTTCAACGGTCTGATCCTTTTCTATCACGGTTTTCTCGAGCCTGGGGATGGCTGCCATGGCTTCGGGGATTTGTTTTTCCAGCTTTTATTTGGGAGGTGGTCATTCTTGAATGGGAGAGAGGGCGTAAGCGTGGGCGGGTTTGATGGGGGTACTAGGACAATCGTTTGTTGATCTGGGTGGGTACCTTAGGTATGACTGGTGAGGTGGTTGTCCATGCCAAAGTACAATCATTTGGTGCTTATCATTGTGTCATGACACAAATATAGGGATATGTTGTCAGAAGAGTTTACTTATCAATGCAAACTGCAGGTTGGTGGTGACCGAGGAGGCAATCGCCAGTTCACACCTAGTTTATGTAGTTTATGTAGAGGGCATGCATCTACCTGGCATCCCACTGGCTGGACTTTTTTCCCCACACTCCGTGTTACCGATTTGTGTGATGGGTGCTCAATGTTGATCATACTTTCTGCAGAGAATTAAAAAAAAACATAAGAAAACTAATGAGGCAAAAGCTAGGTTAAAGCCACCAAACCATTAAGGTATACCTATAGATTGGGTGTCCCACTGGTCATCATGAGAGGGTTCATGGCAGGAAATTTGGTTCGCTCCATCTTATATTGATGACCGCTCCCACCAACTCTCACTTCCTCTACAGTGAAGCGGGCAGTGAATTATGGAAAGCATATCTAAAATATTTCGTGAAATTCACTTGAGCCTCTGTCCGAGTTCTGTCTGGAAGAGCAACGTTTCTGGGCAGCTCCATCGCGATAATTCACCTTATCTTTGCTCTTGACCCACCTCTGAAAGCAAGTGAATCTGCTCTGTGGGTCGCACATCGGAAGAAGTGAATATAGGAGGGCGATGACAATAGCAGATGAGGTGAATCTGGCCATGTAAGTGGGCCTGGCAAGCCGACGGGGTGGGGGGAGAAGATATAAAGAGGGTGTCTGGCTTACTGAATTCCTCTTCTCTTTTCCACCAGACATCACGAAACAGAACGTGGGCTACTATCAGTCAGCTCACCCAGGCTTACACAAAGCCACCAAGCTGTCCCTTAAGTATTTCCACCTACAGCTTCGTCTAAGGTTAGACCTTTACTCACCTTATCTAACTTGGCACTCTACAGCTTCATTGACCAAGCCAGCTCGACCTTGAAGATTTTACTAACATATGTATCCTTGTAACAGAAACAAGCATGCGAGCTTTTTACGATTTGCCACCTGAGCTCTATTTCCTTGTTGGGGGATACCTTGCCAAAAGAGACGCCATCAGTGTCAGTCGAACATCCAAGCACTTCTATCATTGGTTTCGGAGCACCGTTTGGAAGTCCTTCTATTCACGCGGCAGAGATGCGGAGTTGATGAAAGGTCTCTGGTCTTTGATGAGACTCGCCGAGAACGAGATGAAGGGGCCTCATGCCAGCCGCCCTTTTATCCACGAGACCAACTAAGTTCTCCGTCCACTGTATACGTCAGCATAGCGCTGGGGCGCGACTGGCTTAAGCTCATCAGCGCGCTGGGGCGAGGCCGACAAAGACTCAGCTGAATAGTTTCGCTACCGTTTTTCCCCCTCTTTTCATGGCAAACACGGCTAACCCCTTCTCCTTCCTCAAACAGAACCTTGAATGTTGTGCTAAAAGGAGAGGACAGTTCCTCTGTTCGGGAGCGAGACTTATCCAAGCCGCTCCAGCTTGGTGACGAGACTGTGTCTTTTTTTTTTCCTCCAACGCACTCCACCTACAGGGTCTCTCTTTTGACCTTCGGAACTTGAACCGCCAACAACTCGACCACATCACCAGTCTACTCCCGGCCAAGAAGCTCAATCAGCTCGTCACACCGAAGAATCTCTGTTTCAACTTTTCGGAATACGGCATCAGGGAGCAAGGCTACGACCCCGGAACATACGGCAAGCTGATCGCTGCCTTTCTGCTCCGCGCTCTCGACCCAGCCCACCCAACCCCTGGTACTCTTGACATGATCCGCGGTTCTCGCCCGTCCGAAGACGAGGCTCTTGTTTCCATCTTCCAAACCTTTGGCCTCGCAGCGCGCTCTGAAGCGCTTGTTCATCTCTTCTGGCGCCTTCGTCATGGACGCGCCGGTCATTTCCACTGCCGACATCCTTCATCACGTTGTCAAGGAGAACAAAGCTATCAGCGAGGTCATTGAGTGGCTCGCCATCTTTGACGACTCGGATTACAATTCCCCCCAGCGGAGCCGACAGCTGGGAGAATGCGCAGGATGCCGTTGCTTATCTCGTTTCTCCGCCGTCGGATATTCCCAACTTGAAGAGAGTCGCTTTTCCCCTTATTGACTTCCCGGTTTTAGCCAGATCTGGAAATCGGGATCTGAAAAGGAACAGCGATGCTAATTTTTGAGGAGAAAGCGGTTAAAGAAGCGATGAGATTCACGAGCGAGGGCGTGATGAAGCAGCTGCCTGGGTTGGAGATGGTCGCCTTCTGGTCATTGTGGCAGCAGTGGGGGGTTGAGGCCTGGAGGGGATAAGATGGGCCCATGGGGGGGGAAGTGCCATCAGGTGGGGGATAATTGGTCGCGGAGGGGGTACAGAGGCCAGGAATACTGGCCCATGGGGCTCTGGGGGCTTAGGTTCTGAAGCTTCGAGGTTTCTTTCCGCATACCGCTACTCACCTAAGCATATCTAGCTACTTGAGGTTGGCGCGGACGTTGCCTTTTCTGTGGGATGCCTTTGGGATGGAGACAAGGGAGGACTTTGTGAAGGCTGGTGTTGGGAGAGTATCAATGGGGTGCTTAGTTCTATCTATGACTGCATAATGGATTGGTAACTACTCCTGCGGTTTACCCAGCTTGTGGCATTCGGAATTTGGGCTTTGGGAAAGGGAGACAGTGTTTTCTATGGGATTCGTGGTTTGGGACTTGAGGCTAGAGACCTAACTGGGGCCTGGGGGTTGGGACTTGAGCGCGAGTTTCCCTCGACACTTTGGGACTGGGGACATGGGAATTTTGGCACCCGGCAACTCCGTACCTTACTTGAGTTTGGGAATTTGCCTTATCTAGCGACACGAACATTTGAGAACACGGTGCGATCTGGTCGACTGGTTCTTTAGTAGCGCAATAATACCTAATAATTATACCCAGACCGTACCAAGATGATAAGTGCGCGGTTGCATACCTACCTGCCTACCTGAACTTTCAAGTGTGAGAATGAATTCGCTGCCCGGGTCAAGTCACGCATTGCCGAGTGATGGTGGCACGGTACTAAACTGGATGGGATGGAGGGCGGTAGTTGATGTTAAACCTCTCGGAGAGTGGTTCATCATAAGCAAATCACCTCTTGGACTGCAAGTTCTGAAACAAGATTCCGTCGCAAGCGCGATAACCAAATAAACAACCCATCAATCGCCGAGACTCCATATCCGAACCTTCCAAACCCGGTGTGTTATCTTGTGACAAACATGAACCGTCATCTGATATCTGCCGTACAATTTCTAACAGCATATGCGCTGCTCCTGCCCCATGATGGTCATTGATAATACCCGGCTAGTTTCAACCTTCGAAATGCCCAGGTCCCACATACCGCCATCCCCCTACTGGATAGTAAAGAGAGAGGCTCCTTAAGCAAAAACACATAAACCTCTCACTTTACAATGTCTAGCCATCCTTAGGATCCCCTTTTAAAACTCATCGTATAATCCAAGCTCCTTATGGACTTAATCTGAGCTAAATCCGAGCCTTATATGTCGAATTCCTAGACTTAATCCAACCTTTGTACATCTTTAGTCTAAGCCTTTTCCAAGATATAAATGCCTTAGATTTTCGGTACTTTTAAGCAGTAAACAGATAACCTTATACTCCTACTAATCCTCTCACACTTCTTCACTCACCCTCAACCACACAGTCTCAAACACCCCAATTCCCAAATAACCTTTACGTAAACTCCATTTCCATCCGCCATCAACCCATTCAATACACCAACACACACGCTTGCTTCCTGTTTCTGTGCACACAGCCCTGCCACACATAATTCATAATTCGCCAAGGCTCACCTTTTTTCAGCTCTCATGGAACAACCATGATACCTACTATATTCATCATGCAAGAACAGAAGAAGCTCTTACCTCGATGAAGGATTCTCAGCAACCACGATCATGAGTTGTACCATGACCTCCACGAGGAGGGTTTACAAGATACCGTCAAAGGTATGTCTTGCTGTTCATTGGCCAGGGCCAGTAGATCTGGAAGAGAACTGGGTTGTGTAACATAGCACCGGACACAATATTAGTATGGCCCATCATTCACCACCAAGGAACCAAACATTTTCACAAAGTTTCATTACCCCCTGCTATGGAGGCCGATAGACGAAACTACCTAAAAAGAAAACAACGACCAACTCCAGACATAACCCCGAGTATTAACATTTGCTGCAAAAAACCCGCAGCCCCTGAATGATAACCACTCGTAACCCTCCAAGCCAGTTTTGTGCCGTGTCAATGCCATCATGTGTGATGGTCAAAGAGTATCCACCCTAAGAAATGTTGTACAGAGATGAAACTCGGCGTCAATCCCGATCAGAATGCACGGCCTTGACAGAGTTCCTTGTCGTGATGTGATGTAGGTTGAGGGAAGCCAGCTTAGAGCTCCTTATGCGCCTTGGCACGGCCCTCCTCAGCCTTCTTCTTGGCGGCATCAGAGCCAGCCATGACCTGACCGGTGACCCAGTCCCAGCCGCTCAAGACGTTTTCCTTGATCTTAGCGAAGATGGTCTCGGAAGGAGACGAGGTGCCGTACTTGTAGTAAGTCCACTGGCGACGAGCAAGGGCACGGATCTCATTGAGAGTTGAACCCTGAGGGACGGGAATGCCATAGCTGTCCAAGTAGGCCTTGAGATCACTCTCGCTCCAGGTATCAAAGGTAGCAGCCTTGGCATTGTCGGTGGCATGAGAAAGGTAGCTAGTAGCAGAGGCAAAGGAGTTACCACCGGCAGAAGAAGCAGAGGCGTAGGCAGCGTTGGCAGCCTGGACAAGCTCCTCGCGAGTAGCGCCAGCCTTCTCACCAGCCTTCTTCGCCGCAGCGTCTCCAGAGGAAGCGAGGTAGGCCTTGAGGTTGTCGAGGGTCAGATCGTCCCAGGTCCAGGCGCTCCAGCCGGTAGCAGCCTTGTGGGCATGCTTGCGTACGAGCGCACGAAGCTCATCAGTCTTGGATCCCTGAGGAACGGGGACTCCACGGGCGTCAAGGTAGCCCTTGAGACGGCTCTCAGACCAGGTGTTGACGGCAGCGTTGAAGGCATCCAGAGCGGCCTGGGAAGTGGCATCAGTAGCCTTGGCAACGTTCTCGCCAACGTTGGAAGTAGCAGCGCCATAGGCGGAGGCAGCGGTTGAGGCAACAGTGTCACCCATGATCTCAGCGCGGTGCTTGCGGACAAGAGAGCGGAGCTGGTTGAGCTTGGTACCTTGAGGAACGGGGATGCTATTCTTGTCGCAGAACTCCTTCAGCTGAGACTCGCTCCAGGCGTCAATAACCTTGTCAGTGAGGGTGGCATAAGCTTCCTGAGCCTTCTTCTGAGCAGCAGCCTTCTGCTCCTGCATTCGAAGCGAGGCAAGTCGAGAGTTGCGGCGGACAGAGGCAATGAGCTTGTCGCGGGTGGTAGGTTGAGGAGCCGGGATGCCATGGGTATCAAGCCACTCCTTGAGATCAGACTCGGACCAGGTCTCGTACAACCAGTTGCCAGGGTAGGCAGCAGTCTCACCGGCCTTTTGAGCAGCGGTTTCGTAAGCGACCCTAGCCTTCTGAAGGAGAGTATCACGGGTGCGGGGTTGGGGAACTATGGCGGTGTTAGTCGACGCCTCAAACATTCAAGACATGACGTCATGTCAACTTACCAGGAATACCATGACGATCGCAGAAGGCCTTGAGCTGGCTGTCGGTCCAGCTGTCCAGAATCCAGTCCTTGACATTGGTCCAGGCGGTTTGAGCCTTGTCCTCCGTCTCGTACCAGTAGCCCTTCACCTGGCTGACGAGAGAATCGCGGCTGGCCTGGGCGGAATCCTTGGTCTCGACACCCTTCTGCTTGAGATAGCTATCAAGCTGGGCAGCGTCCCAGCTGTTGTATGGTGTTACGACATGTGACTCCCAGTTCTTCTGGACAAGCTTCTCGAGATCCTTGCGGTCGGCAGGAGTGGGATAGGGGACATCGTGGTCGGAGAGCCAACGCTCAAGCTCAGTCTCGTGCCACTTGTTGTAGGCTGCAGATCTTGTTAATAATGAGCTGGAGAAGTCGAGAAAAAACACAAGTCATTACTTACCAGCATTGGAAAACCAAGAGCTAGCGATAACTGCGTCAGCCACGAGGGCCAACGACAGGAGCGCTTTGGCGATCCTCATGATGATGGTGTTATTTTTTCTTCAGCAAGATGTTGTAGTTGTAGGATGTGTAAGGCGGGAAAGGAGATGCCTCTTTGCTGGCTGAGGAAAATATCGCGGTTGGTGATGGGGGTTGGGTATCAAATTGGTATGGGGAGGAAGAGGAGAGAAGGAGGAAGTTGAAGGTGCAAAGCGCAGTATATTGGCGGACGTTGGAGGGTCGGTTCCAGACGTTCACTGTTGGTTTGTTTGTGGGTCTGTGGAAGAAGGAGTCCAAGACGTCACTGCTACCTAATCTAGCTATAAGTGGGTTTTACCTTTGCTTGTTTTTTTTGGCAGGGGAGCAATGATCTGCCAGCTGGGGACACTGGGAGTTACTGCTGGCTGCTCAAAGAATCAGCTGGAAGTAGCTGCTCACCTCGTACCGACATGAGTGGGAAAGGAATTCTCACATGCTGGCCGCCCAGTGCCGCCGTTGAAGGACATATTTCTCCGCTGTGACGTAATGAAGGCTACAAGGGGAGGGGCGAATGGCTGTCGTCGTTCACCGGCGTCGAGGTGGGGGGCTGCCGTGGCTGCTCGCCAACAGAACGCGTGTGTTTGAGGGCAGTGGCTGCCTGTGATTGGCCCCGGTGACACAATATCAGAGGATTTACTTGACTCTCTTCCACGTTGGACCAACGAGCTGCCATCAATGAACCCGCGTCTCGCGAGATACCATCCTTTAGTTGGGTGATGGCATCATGAAAGACCCATGACGTCACTGTGCCAAGATCACTCCCGAAGATCTGGAACGCCATGCCCCACCCTGTACTGCCTTATTGCTGCTGGGTTAGGGTTGATGAGACTTCATCTGTGCAATGCTCCATCAATATCGCAGTATCACCATCCGCAATATGTCTGCTTCAGTGTCAATGCAACCTGATCATAATGTATGTGGACGGGTCATATTCTGTCAGTTGTTCTCAATGCCGTAATAGAACATTGCATGTTGAAGAGCATCACGAACATCACGACCATCACAAACCACAGTCACAGCAGTCCATATTCTTGATGTCCGAAAAGTCTTGGTATTCCCACAGTTGCAATGCTATTTATTTCCTGACCCCATCTCCAGATGCCATTCTTCATGAACAAAAGGAAAAAACAAAAAGATATTAACGCGCCAATTGGCGCAACATTAGTATTTCCCGGCGAGACCACAAAACCCCCCCGACCATTCTCTCACCCCAACTCCAAACTCAGGAAGCCGTCTGCCATCGCAGAGAAGAAAAAAACAAACAAAAAAACCCAAACAAAAAAAAACCCGAAACAGAATCCTCCCCGAAAACTCAAACTTCCCCTCACGCCCCCTCACGAGCATCACCCCACAGGGCGCGCACGCTGTCGCTCTGAGCCCGCGACTGGAAGTAACTCCCAGCCGAGGTCGTCGCGGACAGGTTCGCGCCCGCACCCGGAGTGAACACGGAGCCGAAGCCACCCTCGCCGCCAGCAAACGCATCACCCCCAACACCAGCACCGCCGGCAAATGCACCACCACCCATCCCAGCTTCTCCTCCCCTCCAGAAAGGGTGGTGGTCCTCACAACCATCTCCACCACCACCCAAATAAACCTCCACCTGCTGCTCCTCCTCTCTCCCCTTCCCGTTTCCTTCCTCCTTCTCCTCCACACGATCACAAGGATCCCTCCCAAACTCGCACAAGACCCCAAACTCCCTAAACTCTCTCACGAGAGCCATGCGGGCGGCCTCGGACTGGCAGCGGTAACTGCCGAAGCGGAACTCGATGAGGGCTCTATCGCCCTTGAGCTGGCCCAGGAGAGAGCTGGGTCTGTGGCCTCCGGAGCTGATGCTGGAGGCGGACTTGGAGTGGCCGGGGCTGAAGCCGCTGGCGCCACTGTTGTTGTTGTTGTGGTTGTTGTTGTTGTTGTTGTTGTTGTTGTTGTTGTTGTTGTTGTTGTTGTTGTTGTTGTTGTTGTTGTTGTTGTCGTTGTCGTTGTTGTCGTTGTTGTCGTTGTTGTCGTTGTTGTCGTTGTTGTCGTTGTTGTCGTTGTTGTCGTTGTTGTCGTTGTTGTCGTTGTTGTCGTTGTTGTCGTTGTTGTCGTTGTTGTCGTTGTTGTCGTTGTTGCCGAGGATGAGAGGACCGGCGGCGAGGGGGATGTTGCTGTGGCCGGCAACATTGACATTGGGGGCGAGACCCGAGGAGGAAGAAGAATTGTTATTGTTATAACCGGTGGGAACACCGCCCGAGCTGGAAGAGGTGTTGCTGTGGCTGGCAACGGGAGCGCCGGAAGGGACGTCGTTATAGGCCAATAGGCCGGCTGGGGTGCGGGGACCACCAGAGCTAGAGAGGTTGCCTGTCGAGGGATTGGCAGCAGAGGAACCGGGGGGAGCGGGCAAGGCGGCAGGGACGGCGCCGGGGTGGTGGACGATGATCTCGTCGACTTGGTAGATGAGCTTGTTGTCGAAGTACTCGCGGAGGTGCTGCTCGTTGACGATGTGGGGGGGTCCGGAGATGAGGAGGACGCGAGACTTTGAGCCGTTGATGTCGACTTCGGCGGACCGGATGCGGTTCCAGGTCACGCGGGCTGGGTTGTGGGGAGGAGCGCGGGTTGGGATGCGGAAGCCCTGGGTTGTGGTTTGGCGGAAGAAGCGTTCTGGTGGGAAGGGTGGGTTAGCTTTCTGATTTCATGCGTTTAGAAGAACGTTGCATGCGTCAAAAGGGGTTTGAGAGGCCTGTCAAAGAGTTTTGAAGGCGTGCCAACTCATCTTTTACGCCTATTCGAGAGTTCAATAGGCCGAAAAAGATGGCCAAGAGGCGTCTCAGGATAGTGGGAAGGGGTCTGAAGATATCTTGAAGGCATATCCAAGAGTTTGGAAGGCCTATTTGACAGCATGATATGCCTATTCGATAGCTCAAAAGGCATAAAAAGATGGTCAACAGGCCCATCCAAACTTTTGGAAGGCCTACTCAGAACTTTCTGAGGCGTGGTGGGAATGCTCGGATGCATATGAAGAAAAGGGGAAGGGAATGAACACGTACCGGCAGCACTCCTCTCAAAAAACACAATCTTGGCCGCGCTCTGCTCGTGGCCCTTCTCCGGCTCAGGGGGGTTGATGTGGGTGGCGTACACCCGCCCCACGTTCCTCACCCCAGCAAGCAGCTCGTGGGTCGTCACATCGGCGGGCAAGCCCACCAGGAAGAGAGAACAGTTCATGTCCTCGGGGATGGTCGCGCTCCGGTTCCGGTCCAGGTCCGGGTTCCCCTTGTAGTTGGGGCTGAACCCCTTGATCATCAAGTCGTAAGACTCGAGTTCGGTCAGGCGGCGGTGGGTGCGGCACTCCATCGGCCGGAAGAAAAAGGGCTGCCCAGGGGCTGGGACGAGGGCACTGGAGGAGGAGGGACCAGCTCGGACGACGGCGGTCTCGGGGACGGACGCGAGGGGGCGAAAGCCAGCGGGAAACAAGGGGGCGGCGGCAGGCTGAGGGAAAAAGGGGCGCTGCTGGCCCGGGAAGGGGTGCTGCTGGGCAGCGGAAAAGGGGCCAGGAGCTTGGACGGCGGTGGCGGCGCCGGAGTGGAAGGACAAGGACCGGAGCTGGGAGGAGAGGGCGTCCGGGTGGTAGGCGGGGCCGGAGGGTGGGTGTTGGGCAAAGCCCGGGATTCCAGAGTCGTTCCCGCCGGGGTGACTCATCATCCTGCCTGAGGCAAAGCCGGAGGCGCCGATGGAGGTGAGGACAGGCGGGGCGGGGGCAGCGGGAGTGGGTCTGGCGCCGAAGCGGCCGTCTCCGACAACGCCGAAGGTTTCGGACTTGTTGTCACATTGCGACATCTTTTCGTCGTTCTCGTCGGTCTGGTTGTTGTTGTTGTTGTTATTGTTGTTGTTGTTGTTGTTGTTGTTATTGTTGTTCAACGTCTGGAACACGTTGAATCGGTTTGTCAAAGAAGGTTGTGCAGCGAAAGGGGCTTTTCTGGCGTTGCTTGTGAGGCTGGCAAGAAGATCGGTGCTCGCTGACGACTTGTAAGAGCGGAAGCTTGGATTCCAACGGTTCGCAGGAGAGAAGTAGTAACCGGGGGGGTAGAACCTGTTTGGGCCATAGCTCTCACTGGCAGCTGACCCCCGTAGGTTGGAAGACCACCGTCCCCCGTAGCTGTCACCATAGCTCACGCTGCGGTCTCGCCAGTTCACCCCAGCGAGGGGTTGTTCTGTGGTCTTGCCGTACTTGCCGCTTGTGCCTACTGGGCTGGAGACTGTTCGTGTGCCTCGCTGTTCTTGATGCAGGCAGCTTTCTTCGGCGTTGATGCCCAGGCCATGGCTTTGATCATCTTTGGCATAGGGGCTAGCAGGGTGAAAGGGACCGTTGTTGTCTTTCAGCGGAGGAGGGGAGTCTTCATGGTCGAAGATGACTTCATTGGCAAGACTGCTGCGACTGCTGGCATAGCTGGACTGGCGATACCGCGGTTGATACTGCTGTTGATACTGATGTTGACGCTGTTCTTGGTACTGGCGTTGCTGACCCTCTTGATGGGAAGAGTCCTTCTCGTCAACGGAGGTAGTGTGGACTGTTGACTTGAGCCCTGTGTTGTTGCTGATTGTCGCCATAGGTGTACGGACATAGACAAACGAGTTGGGAGAGCTGAAGTCTCCTTCGGTGTCTGGAGTCCGAGAGACATGATTATTCTCTGAGGAAGACATGTTGACTGAGTTCAAGACTGATGTCAAACCTAAGACTATGCTTGGAGTGAGATGGAGTATAAAGTGGGCTGGAGTGAGATGAAGTACCTATGAAGTTGGCTGGAGTGAAGAGTGACGACGAGTATGAAGACAGGCGGGATGGATCGAGTCAGGATGAGGCAAAACAGTTCCTGATGTGAGCTTGTCGAGTAAAGTAGAACCGATAAGGGATGAAATTTTGGTGATGGGATGGCTATGTGTCAAGCAAGCTTATATATGTCCAAATATTTCAGCATTTGGATGTGCGCTTGCTTGACGCTGTCGGGCCTACAGTGTCCTTTGAAAGCCAAACTGCCCCTTGAGGCACTGCCAGCTTGTTGACTGATGAAGGACACAAAGAAGCATAGTGGTTGTCAACATTGCGACGCGCTTCCAAGGGGCTCTTGTTATTTTCCTTGGTGACCAAGACCAGTCATTGTTTTTACGTTGATGTCTTGTGAATTGACAAAGGCTCTGTCTGTTACAATGGGCTGGACTCAGCAGCTTGGTCTGACCAAACGTTTGTTTGACTTGAGTGAGAGACTGCAACTTTTCAGGTTGCTCTGACTAGGTACAAAGAGATTAAAAGCAGTGTGCAAGTCATATGGCTGTGGTTGGTCAAATATCATAGTTGCAATAAACAACTCATCGATGCAATGGTAGGAGGGGGCGCAAAGTGGTTTTGTAAAGTCATTGCATTCTTGAGTAGGTGTGCTGCATGACAATAATGACTCGAGAGAATCAAGCATGTCAGCAATAGAAACATAGCGATTGATATGATCTTACTGGGCCTTTTGATGAGACCATCAAATCAAGCTGTTTTTGCAAAGTACCGAATTATCTATCATTGCAAGGTCATCACAGCGAAGAAAGTCGAGAAAGAAACATCATGAAAAGCAGCCCCCACCCCTTCATCTCATTTCAAAGCCTCGCTACAACTCCAAGCAAGGGAAGGTAGCGATCATAAGCAGAATCTTCTGACTGAGACCTACCTGCATGCCAAGTTCACCCAAAACATGTCAAATCCCCATGCCACACTGACACTCCCAGTTCCGGCATCACCAAGATATTTCCGGAGTCCCACATTCCGCCGCCCATCTTTTCCCTCCTCCCGTCCCCTCCAAACCCACAGACCAAATCTTACTACTACTCGGGAAGGAGCCATGTACCGTACCTTACCTTATGTCGTGATGGCCCATACACCCGCGCTATCCCCAACCGAGCCGGTGGGGCCGGCAGGATATCGTTTACCTCAACTCAAATTCAAAAAATAAATATTTCCATCCGCTTCATCACAACACCATTGTTGCTTTTCCTTTCCACCCAAAAATAAAAATAAAAAATTGGAGTGTGAGCCGCCTGCGTAACAATGGCAACACCGGCAGTTGACCATGACAAGATCTCTCCGCACCGGCAGTCGGCGTCAGCATCAGCATCGTCGGCCCGTGAGAGAATCCAAGCGAGATCGGAAGGGGATGACTCGGAGTTAAGCGATGAGCTCACCGACACCACCAACGTCGCCCAAGAAATACCACACGACGACGATGAACCGCCCAAATCGGACTTGCCGTTCTCAAAAGCGCGATGTATCGCCCTCGTGGCTACCGTCACAGGCGCGAGTTTTCTCAACGTACGCGTCTTCCCTTCACTACCTATGCACAGACTTGACAACTAACGACTAAAATAGACCCTCTCCGGCCAAGCAGTGGTCATCATCCTCCCAACCATAGGCCGCGACCTTTCCATCCCCGACACCCGCCTCCAATGGATCGTCTCGGCCTACTCCCTCACCTTTGGCTGCTTCCTCCTCCTCTGGGGCAGGATAGCTGACATCTACGGCAAGAGAAGGATGTTCATCTTTGGCTCGGCCTGGTTCGCCATGACCATGCTGGTGAATCCCTTTTTACCAAACGAAATCGCCTTTGATTTGTTTCGTGGTCTTTCTGGGCTTGTAGGTTGAACAATGGGTGAAATTACCGCCTAGTCATGCTAACATTTGTCTACAGGGTGCGGCAGCCAACGTTCCAACGGCGATTGGAATCCTAGGAACTACCTTTCGACCTGGCAAAGCGAAAAACTATGCTTTTAGTTGTTACTCAGCAGGTGCCCCTGTGGGAGCGGTGTTTGGGAATTTGCTCGCGGGCTTTGTCTCGGAGTACACCTCATGGAAATGGGTTTTTGTCATTATGGGTTTGTTGGCTGTCATTGTGACTGTGGCGGCGTTTTTTATCCTGCCGGCGCCGAATCACACTTTGCATGATGAGGGGGTCACGGTGAAGAATTCGGTTGACTGGTTGGGGGCTGGGTTGGTTACCGTGGGCTTGCTGGCGTTGCTTTTTGCCTTGACACAAGGAAATGTAGTTGGGTGGAGGACGCCGTGGATACCGGTGTTGATTGTGGTTTCGGTTATCTTGGTAACGTTGTTTGTGTTTTGGCAGAGACATCTGGAAAAGACGAAGAAACGCGCGCCGATCATGAAGGTTTCGGTCTTTCACAGCACGAAATTCAGCGCTGCCATGGCGATCATGGCGCTCTTTTTCAGCAGTTTCAATGGGTTGCTGGTTTATGCCACGTATTTTTACCAGGACTTTCAGGGCCTGTCGACGTTGCAGACGACCTTGAGGTTTCTGCCGACGGGGATCATGGGGGTCATCACCGCGCTGGTTGTCAGCCAGCTTTTGGCGCGGGTGCCGACTTACCTGCTTTTGGCGGTGGGGACGTTTTGCGTGTCGATATCGTCGATACTCTTTGCTGCTCCGATTCCGCCAGAGACGACGTATTGGGCTTATGGGTTCCCGGCTATGGTCTTGTCGGTTTTTGGAGCTGATACTACGTGGCCGTCTTTGATTTTGTTTACGAGCCATTCGTTACCTCAGTCGGATCAGGCTTTGGGGGGGGCTTTGGTTAATGCCATGGGTCAGGTGGGAAGGGCTATCGGTTTGGCTGTCGCGACGGCGATTCAGACGGCTGTTATGGCGCATGATAGAGGGGTTGATGTCGAGGAGGCTGGGCCGGTGATTCCTTGGGACTCGGCTTCGCTCGCGGGTCTGCGAGCAGCGGAGTGGTGGAATTTTGCGTTGGGGTGTGCGGCATTTGTGGTTGTTTTGGTAGCTTTTCGGGGGTCCGGGGTTATTGGGAAGGCGGGGGTTGTGAAGGCTCAACGGCGACCGACTGAGCGTGATGACATTGTTGTTGATAGTACGGGGGATGGGGGGATAAAGGGCTGATGAAGGTATGGTTAGAACAGCCGAGGTTTTTTTTTTGGGGGGGGGGAAGTCAAGATGATCATAATGCAGGTACGAATACGGCTGGGGAGTTAGGGTAGATACATGTTGGAATTGATCGATTGAACTCTATTCGCAGCAAAGATCGGCGATGGATGATGATTTTATTGGTGGTTATGGATCCAATAACCTAGGTGGTCCTTACAGCTTGACAGTGACACCCCCTTGAACGTCAACTGTTGGGCCGAGGTGTCAGGGTGCTTAGCGTGGGATTGTTAGCGGGTGGTTCGGTGCATATTTAGGGCAGAAGGGATGGACCCAGAGAGGTGAGTTTTCTGGTTGTCGTGACCAAGATTCTGCACTCTTGCCAGTGCCAGCTTCCCCAATTCTGATTGTGGTCAACAGAGTGGTCCACCGTCTGCTTCTCTAGTCAGTGTCGATCACGACGAACAAATCCAATGAAACCGGGTTTTAGGACGTTAGCGCCTGGGCGGGCAGTGAGATCGTGGGGAGGACGGAGTTGACGTCTCCGCAACTAACATCAAGATCGCCGAGTTGGTCTGGATTTGTCGTTCAGGTTCCGGTGTGTTGGTCGGGGGGTAGGATTGTAGGTATAAAGGACCTGGGGAGCAGCAGGCGTGTTGCAGTGATGTGACCTTTTTCCGGGTTCCAGGCCCCCTCTCCCTCCTTCCTCCTCCCTCCCCATCTTCCCCCTTGATCCCCTCAGACCCGTGAAGATGCATCTCCTTAGCACCAATAGGATTCTGTCCCTTTTCGTTGTTGTTGCGACGACAAACCTCGTCTACGGTGTTCCCATCGAGGCTGAGCAAGCACACGAACAGGCGCTGCCGAGGAACCTCGAAGGGGAGTTTGGCATCTCCAAGGAATTCGACTATGTCATTGTCGGCGGTGGCACCGCCGGCTTGACTCTTGCCAACAGGCTGAGCGAGGACCCGAGCATCTCTGTCGCTGTTGTCGAAGCGGGGAGCTTTTACCAGATCACCAACCCTTTGCTGGGAAAGACGCCAGTGGGTGATGTCTTGTTTGTCGGGTCGGATCCAAGCGACACCAACCCCTTGGTTGATTGGAACTTTGTCACCGAGCCCCAGAGGGGTGCGAATGGGAGGAAGATTCATTATGCCAGGGGAAAGTGTCTTGGTGGGAGGTATGTTACGCACCTCGGTGATCTTGGGATATCGAAAAAGTGGTTAATGACGGTGCAGCTCAGCAAGAAACTTCATGATCTACCAGCGGGGTACCGTCCAGTCCTACCAGAAATGGGCAGAGGCCGTCGGTGACGAGAGCTACTCCTGGGAGGCGCTGCAGCCGCACTTCAAGAGGAGTGTCAGCTTCACACCTCCCAGAGAGGACCTCCGGTTCAAGAATGCCTCGGCCGAGTTCAACATCAATGCCTTCTCCACCACTGGCGGAGGGCCCCTTCAAGTGTCTTATGCCAACTACGCCAACTCTTTTAGCACATGGATGGAACCTGCGCTGAACGAGATCGGTATCGGACCTACGCAAGACTTCAACAGCGGGAGTTTGATGGGCGCGCAGTATTGTGCTTCGACTATCCGGCCTGAGACCCAGACTCGTGACTCGAGTCAGACTTCTTTCTTGCGAGAGGCATCCGGGAGGGGAAATCTCAAGGTTTACATGACGACGCGGGCGAAGAAGATTGTCTTTGATGAGAAGAAACGGGCGACCGGGGTTGTGGTGGAGAGCAGGCCTTTTGGACTGTTCGAGTACACTCTCAAGGCGAGGAGGGAGGTTATCGTCTCGGCCGGCGCTTTCCAAAGCCCGCAGTTGCTGATGGTTTCTGGTGTTGGCCCTATGGTCGAGCTGGCGAAGCACAAGATTCCACTCATCGCGGATAGACCTGGAGTTGGACAGGGGATGCAAGATCATGTCTTCTTTGGGCCGAGCTGGAGGGTCAAGGTCGAGACGCTGACGAGGATTGCCAATGATCCATTGTTTGTGTTGGGAGAGTTTGCGGGGCCTTATACGTTCAAGAAGCAAGGCCCGTTGACCAATCCCGTTTGTGATTTCCTGGGCTGGGAGAAGGTACCACGTGGGCTGATCCCGAAGGATACTTCGACGATTCTGGATGGGCAGTTCCCACCTGACTGGCCTGAGGTTGAGTACTTGACTGCCCCGGGTTACGTTGGTGACTTCTCCAACTTGTTCACCACTCAGCCAAAGGACGGGTACATGTACGCGACTATCCTTGGTGGTCTTGTTGCTCCGATGTCGAGGGGCACCGTCACGCTCAAGTCAGCCGATACCAAGGACCTCCCACTCATCGATCCCAAGTGGCTTACCGACCCGACCGATCAGGAGGTAGCTGTCGCGCTGTACAAGCGTCTGCGTCAGGCGTTTGCGTCAAAGGCTATGAAGGGCGTGTTGGCGGATACAAAGGAGTACTTCCCTGGCCCGGACGTCAAGACGGATGCACAGATCTTGGCTGTGATTCGGAATACGGTGCAGACAATTTGGCATGCCTCTTGCACGTGCCGGATGGGGAAGAGGGATGACCGTTGGGCGGTTGTGGACAAGGAAGCCAAGGTGATTGGTGTGGATGGGCTGAGGGTGGTAGATGCGAGTAGCTTTGCGTTGTTGCCGCCGGGGCATCCTCAGAGCACGGTCTATGTCCTGGCTGAGAAGATTGCGGCCGAGATTTTGCGGAAGAATCATGGCAAGACGATTGCTTGAGCTGTTGGGGGAGAAAGGGTGGTGGGATGGGAGGAACGAGAACCTGGCATGTATATTTACAAGTAGATAGTTTATATGGGAGATGATGAGATGAGGAAACAACATCAATATTTAGGTAATCTGTCAATAATCAAAATCTGACATTGACTATTCCATCGTGCCTCCCGTTCGTCATCCAGAGCAGATTGTCAGGTGTTTGCAGCCGTGCACTGCTCCACTTCTTCTAGAAGGAAGAGACCTGCATTTCTTTCGTTGATTTTTTCTTTCTTGTCTTCTTCAACTTGAGGGTATTTGATTCCATCCCAACTTCGACCCTCCAACACTTACCCTGACTCATCTACCAGAGGTTCGTGCTATTCAATCCCATCTCAGCCTGAAAGTTCCTTGTTTCAAGATGTTCTCCTGACATGACTGTCGTCTCAGCTGTACAGCCTCCTCAAACATCATAAGAATCCTAAAAATCAGCTTCATGTCGCCATTCGACATTCAGAGGAGTCTGCGAAACAGGTTTCAGGCGACTCCTTGACCTCGCGTGGGCAGTGGGGCTGTGTGCTGAGCGGGATGCGGGTGATCAACACGGCCTGCGCGCTTGACCAGTTCAGCTGCTCGTCAATGATCGACGCTAGCATCCCTATCAGGAACTTGGCCCAATGTTACCAGTTCGCATTGCACCTGAGGCCAGACGGAAAGGTCTAGACATCGATATTGATTTTATCCCGCTGTCTTCGGATGTCCCCGTGCAGCAGACCCCCTGTCGACGGGCCGAACACGGTTAGAACGTGGCTTGCGGGAACGGCTTTTGTCACCTGAAAGACGATGACTATCGAGAACCAGCAGGCTGGAATCGCCAGACAGGGAATTTTCCCCACGAAAGCTGAAGACCCGGGACATTTGTTCCTGCAGAAGCGTAGAAGCTATCAACAGCATGGGATTGGACATGACGCCACTTCAAATGATCTCGACCTCGATAGACACGAACAATTGGCCAAATGCGTCTGATAACGGACATGGTCTGTGATGTCTACATCATACAGAGAGTCTGTACTACATTGATTTGGGCTGCCTGGACGAATATCCCACGGCCAAATTGTCATTTCCGGATTCCATCTACCGCGGCAGCCACTGTCACCCGCTTCAGCTACACAATATACTGATCATTTGATCCAGGATCTAGCTCGAGAGTGGCAAGGCGAGGTCTGATTCCAAATGTGGCCCCTAAACACCTTGTGGTGGCTTGTGTCCATGGAAGTCTGGATCCAGGAGACGCTTGCTGCTTTCCACTACATATACTATGCTGCCCAACCCCCCGAGCTCCTCTCCTGTGTCCCTTTCAGGAGCACGGCAAACCGCAGAAGAGTCTCTTCAGGCGTCAAGCTCAGTCACAATACGCTCCCTTTTCATGCTTGGGCAGCCACTCAGGTACTGACCCGACATCCTTCTTGGCGTTGTTGGCTACTACACAAGAACTTGGCTAGCTTCCTCTAGCAGTGCCGTCTTCCATGCTATAAACGTCGACTATGTTGGGGTTGAGAAAAACATTTGCAGGTATGCCGGGCTTTTCTTTACTCGCAACCCCAGCCAGTCTCTGACCTTGACCCGCTCCAGGCAAAAGACTTCGGAAGCGCAGCTCAGCATCATCTTTTGTTTCCGACACCATTGACGAAGAACCAGCAGAGACTTCGAACCGCTCAGCCATGGACACCATTCGCGCCGGACTCCAAGAGTCCGTCAGTGGACTCACAGTCAAGAGCAAGCCTCTCGATGCTCCTATGACTGTGAAAGTCACACCGATCTCGGACGGCGAGCACAGCGATTCGGAGAGAACTGCCTCCCTCGCCGACGAGACATTTTCCGCGACCTCAACCGTCGCCCAGAGTCAACTGTCTACCGTCACCGTACAGTTGACTCGCGTTCTCGAGACCAGCAAAGAGATCCGGAGACGCATTTACAAGTTTGGTGACTACACTGAGACTTACTTCAAGCATGTCGATATCGAGTCCTATCTCGAGTACATCTCCGATGAGCGTCTCATCCACATGCCCCGTCGGGGTAGTGATTGGGACCGCGTTCTCAAATCCGCTCAGTTCTTTGGGCTTCAACTCTGGGGCCTCGGAGCCAATGTCGGAGACTTCTGCTTTGGAGCTCATCAGGCTTCCATCACCGCTTTGGGAAGCACTCAGATTCTTCTCGAGGTATGTCATTACATGTGCAGCTTTGGTCAAACGCTAATGACTATCACAGATCGGACATCAGCAGGCTCAGGCCCTTGTGCCAACCTTTGAGGCACTTTACGAGCTCGCCATCCTGATCACCAATGTCAGCCAGATTCAAGATATCTTCTATGCCTCTCAGGAGGTTAAGGAGAGCCTTGCTCATCTGTACTGTGATCTCGTTGACCTGGTTGGACGGATCTCGATCCTTTACAGAGAAAAGATCAGCAGCCTTGGACAGAACACTCACAAGTCTGTCGTTATCAACTTTGAGACGGAATTTGGCCAGCACGTGTCTGGCATCTGGAGGAGGAGAGATTCCATCATTGCCAAGATGTGGTCGCTGAAGTTGGGCAACAGGACTCACAGTCTTGGCGTCGATGCTGTTCGCAGGCGGCTTCAGAACGATCGGTCTGCCACAGGGGCCTTTTACGACCAAGTGTCTGAGAATGTCAAGCGGGCCGAAGACACATGTGAATGGGTCAAAACACCTCTTGTCAACTTTCTCAGGGGCAAGGAGAAGGCTTTGACTATTACTGGTGAGGCTGGATCGGGCAAGACAGTTCTTGCCGGTTGGATGAAGGAGCGTCTTCAAAGACCCTTGGATCACACACAGTACACTACGCTTACCTACAGCTTCCGTAAGTTTGAGCCTTGCTTTCCACACAAGATCTGATAACTGACCAATCTTCTAGCCTATGACTACCCTTCCAGGTGCACAGTTCTTGCTTTCCTCAAGAGCATCCTCTTCCAGCTTCTTGAGAAGAACGTGGGCAATGTCGGGCTGTACGAGCAGCTGATGAGCGCTTTTGAGTCGTATGATCAGCACCGCAGCTCTTCCAAGCTCGAGACTTCTCTCTGGGCCGCCCTGGAATCGGGTCTGCGGTCACTTGACGATCGTCGCACCAACGTGGCCGTCGTTGTCGACGGTTTCCAGGATGTCACTGGCAGTATCAGCCCGCTTGAGTTCCATGGCAAACTCAGGACTTGCGTTGCCAAGTACAGGAACGTCCGCATCATTACTTTGTCGCGTGCCATCTCACATCTGAGCGAGGGATGCGCTCATTTCACCATCACCTCTCAGCACCTCCATGGTGACATCAAGCGCTACCTCCGCCAGTCTTTCTCCAAGTTTCCCGGCTTCACTCAGCTGAGTCCCGAGGTTCAGGAGAGAACAGTCCACGACTTGACACAGAAGGCCAAGGCTTCGTTCTTGTGGGCTTACATTGCCGTGCGGCTGCTTGCCAAGGATGCGCCAACACAGTCTCCTGACGCCTTTGTCAAGGCCGCCCAAGGCATCAACGGCACGTTGGACGAGCTCGTCAAGAAGCTTGTGTCGAAGACCTCCCTCAAGCATGAGACCACACAGACATTGTTGTCGTTTGTTCTTGCTGCCGACAGACCCCTCGGCGTGAATGAGTTGGGCGAGCTCTTGCGCATTGAGACCAAGACCTGTCAGCTTGGAGGCCCCATCGATGTCGTGGCACGCATCAGGTCAACCTGCGGAGACATTGTCGTTATCCAAAACGGCAGTGTTCACTTCAAGAGCAAGTCCATCCGCTCCTACATGCAGACCCTGTTGGATGGCAAGGTGCTGCCCTCAGTTCGAGATGCTCATCGGAACCTGACCTTGGCATTACTCTTGTACTCGAAGCTCAGCCTTACCGATGGCTCAGAGCCCTCTTTTGAAGGCCTTGATGATGGATTTGTGGACGGGTACTTTGAGACACACTCCCTGCTTTACTATGCCGTCAGGCACTGGCAAGCCCACTTCCGGGCATCCAGCCTCTATGCTGATGGGGAGCTGGTTTTGGGCAAGGACTTTGTCGAGTACTTCCCAACTTCTTGCCACTTTGGTCTGCTGGAGAGGTCGGCTTACCTCTATGGCGAGCCCGTCTCAGTCCACGTCAAGCACCATGAGTTTTCTTTGAGGGTTCAAGAGGCCTGCTTCGGCGAGCGTCACATCAGTGTCCTGCAGACCTTCATCATCCTCGGCAATATCCATGTTGAGGCTTCTGATGCATTGGCCGGTGCCAAATTCTTCTACAGAGCTGTCTCGCTTGGGAAGGTTATCCTTTCCACCTCCAGCTCTGTCGTTGTAACATGCACACACTACTTTCTCAAGTATACCGAGACCATCACCATCACGGAGCGCACAGAGATTGTCACATGGCGTGAGGAGATGATCATTCTCATGATCCAGATCTGCAAAGGCAAGCACGGAGCCACCAGCGACACTGTTATCCGGTGGCTCGAGGTGTTGGCCAAGCTGTACATTGACATCAAGGATACCACACGGACGAGAGTCATTCAGAAGGAGATCTGGGAGATTTACATTGGCCGTTTTGGAAAGAACCACCCCAAGACGAGAGAGCTGGCCGAATACATTGGCGGCTTGGAGATTGAGTTCAAGGGTCAGGTCAAGGAGAAGGAAATCAGCTCATACGTTGGCTGGTATCTCGAAACCGCCGACGGCTTCCGAGTCGACGATCACCGGTGTATCTCGATCCTCATTCAGTTGGCCTTCTTCTACGAGTCTCAGGAGGAGTGGTTCTGGGCCGAGAGAACCTACATCACTCTCTGGAGGCGCATCACTGAGCTCTGCCGCGTCCACACCACCATTGAGCTGCACATCAGCAAGCTCGAGATTGCCATCAAGTATGTCAAGTTCCTCAGGAGAATTGGTCGGTATGAGGAGGCCTCAAACATTCTCATCTGCTTGTGGGTGGAGTATGAGCACCACAAGTTTGAGGAGTTGGCCATCATTGTCCTTCTCAAGGAGATTGGGGTGCTCTTCAAGGCGTGTGGTCTTCTTCAGATTGCCATCTCGGTGTTTGGAAAGGTCTGGGGGTGGTTCAAGGGCAAGGGCAAGTGTGACCACAAGGATGCACACGAGACTACCATCCTCATCACCGAGGTTGTCGAGGAGATCACCGAGACCACGACCACCACCAAGACCACAACCACAACTACGACTGAGGTCACTGAGACCATCATCCGGGAGGTCTTTGTCGCGCACTACGAGCGATGCAAAGGAGGTAAGGTGGATGAGGCGTTCTTCAAGTCTTGCTTGGCGCTCATTAATCTCTACATCAAGATTGGACACTGGTCCAAGGCAGAGGTCATCATCACGCAGTCGCTTGAGATCACCTGGAAGGCTATCCTGACCGCAGAGGTCACCATCAAGCTGTCGGAGCGCTTTGTCACAGAGTGCATCTTGGTTGCCAGACGCCTTGCTGTCTGCTACCACCGTCAGTACCTCTTTGAGAAGGCTGAAGCCATCTACTTGCGCATTTTCCGCGCTTGCTTGATCTCCCTTCAAATGGAAGATGTGAGGACCGAGGAGTCTCTCGCCGTGCTCATCTGCTTCTACGAGGAGCACCACCGCCATGAGAAGATCATTGAGCTGTTCATCGAGATTCTTGCCAAGTACCGCAAGCACCTCGGCCACACTCATCGTCTCACCATCAAGATCATGTACTCCTTGGCAGCCCACTACATGCTTCTGGGACGCAAGGAGGGCTATGACATCTACATTGAGATTGTCGCCATCCTTAACAAGGGCCGGAAACACTGCCATCACGATGCCATCAAGGCTGCTGTGATCCTGATCCACTTCTACAAGGAGAGACAGCGATGGGCTGAGCTTCAGCAGATTTGCTGCGTCCTCTGGGAGACGATTGTCCACTGCCACAAGGAGATCCGCTTCGAGCAAGAGACACTCATTCTGGTTTATGAGGCTTACATGCACGTGCTGGAGTTTCATGCCAAAGTCGAGTGGTCCATCCTCTATGAGATCTCGGTCAAGTTTCGTGAGGTTGTCACAGTCTGTTTTGGGACCGAAGCCTACATCATCATCACAGCAATGATTGCTTTGGCCAAGGTTTGCGAGAAGAACCACAAGCATCACCATGAGGCTGTCACGATTTACGAGGAGGTCATCACACGGATCAAGACCACCAAGACAACCACCGTGACAGAGACGGAGACGACCGTCACCACAGTCAAGAAGCGCCTTTCAAAGGTCTATGTTACGATCATCACTTCTGGCGGTGCCACTACAACCACCACTCTTGACAGGGCCATTGAGCTGTGTTATGAGGCGTACCGCCACCTCAAGCTCACGCTCGGCTGCTGGCACCAGGAGACATTGCTCAAGCTGAAGGATGTTATCGTTCTCTACTTGAGGCTTGGTGGTGAGAAGTTGCATGGGAGGATCCTGGAGCTGCTCCAAATCGCCTTCGTTGAGATCATCTCCGAGAAAGAGTGCAAGTCTGCTGACTTGTACTATGCCGCCGTGACCCTCTCCTCCATCTTTGTCACCGCCAAGATCATCCAGCACGGCTTCAAGCTGGTCCGACAGCTCCGCCACCTCGCCATCTTTGGCGGGTATGAGTTCGAGGGCAGCGTCGAAATCGTCGTCAAGTACAACAAGACCATCAGCAAGACCGCCCTCGTCTTTCTCCTTGCCTTCCAGCACAGCCTCACCGACAACAACGCCTTGACCTTCACCGAGCTGATGGCCATGGCACTTTGTGAGATCACCCTCTACGAGGCCTACAAGCGGGAGACGGAGTCCAAGACCAGCAGGACCACCTTTGTCCTCGAGTACGGCGCCAAGCTCCGCGCTTTCTGGATCGAGCAGAAGCAAGAACACATGTGCGCTGTCCTCGACCAGAGGCTCTTCCACATCTTCAAGACCAAGTTTGGAGGCTTCATCACCACCCACGACGACTTCACTCGCATCTATTACCTCGCCGTGCTCGCCTACCTTCAGCAAGATCTCAAGAAGATTGACTTTGACGCCGTTGCTTGCAAAGCCGGTAACGACGAGGTCGCCTCTTTGCTCAAGGCGGGCGAGTGGAAGAAGGCACTCGAAGTGGCTCGGTGCACCTTCTACTTTGCCCACAGGCAGGGCTACTACAGCGACTTGACCCGTGTGCACTACGCCTACAAGCTGGCGGAGTACATGGCCGGCATCGACGTCCCTCGGCCCAACGACGCCAAACTCTGGGAGGAATACCTCCGCCTCTCACGAGAGATGACCAAGGAAGCGTTCGCCATCCTCAAGGACAAGAACATTGAGCTCATCCGCCTCAAGTACGAGGACATCAGCGGCATCGTCAGACTCCTTGGCAGCCAGCAGAATTTTGTCGAGCTGGAGTCCCTCCTCCTCAAGCTCTGGAAGTCGCGCGAGGTGCAAAAGAACTGGAACGCCGAAAGAGTGCTGGCAGTGGGTAAGATGTTGGTTCACGCTCACGTTGCCGCGAAACACGTCTCTGCCGCCATCGACCTCTGCGAGACAATGTGCTACAACCTCCGTCGGTCCCGTGGCGTTCTCGACCCGGTTACTGTCGAGATGCAGAGGATGCTGGCGGAGCTGTACACCACCAACCAGCGTGTAGACCGGTGCATGACGATCCACGAGCAAATCCTCCGCGAAATCGAGGCTGCCCTTCGCGACTACGATCAGGACGAGTCCCGCCCCGTCAGGTTATACTCCCAACCAACCTGCGGCCAACCCTACCTTGAGGGGAAGAAGGCCCAGGTCGGCGGCGCGACATGTGGACAGCCGTATGTGGAGAAGAAGCAGCAACCTCAATTGTGCGGACAGCCTTCTCTCCAACCGGAAACCCTCGCCAAGACGGCCACCTGGCAGCTTGAACTGTTGAAACGGGCTTACTACCGACAGGGCGGGTTCGTCAAGGATGAGCACGAACAAGAATTCGCCGCGCTTTGCGAGCTCTTGCAGCAGAGGCTGCTCAAAGCGGCGGGTGACAGCAAGAAGGATGTCTGTGTGTTGAAGGCGCCAAAGCCGGAGACGTGGGCGAGGGAGAGGAAGGAGGGGAAGCAGGATGATTTGATTGGGGTTTATGTTGGTCCGAGAGAGAAGGATTGGAGGTTGGATGGGGATTCGTTTGCAAAGTATTTTGGTGGGGGGGAGCAGGAGGGGGGAAGTGTGGAGATGAAGGGGGGGAAGAGGTGGAGTGGGGTTGATCATGTTAATGTTGCCAGGCGGTCGTGGTTGTTCTGAATGTGATTGATGATGGGTTGGATGTAATGAGTGGTATGTTGTATGGGTCGATGAAGGGTTAATGGTGATTGATGTTGATGGGAAAATGGGTTCGGTTCAGGGGTTACAGGGGCGCTGGGCTTGGGGCTTGTTGGGTGGGCAACGTCATCGCGACGAACCTTTCTTTGCTGTCACCCGCTTGGTCTTTTCGTCTGTTTGGGTTTTCTTTGGTACTGGTGTTATCTTGAGCTGCTTTGGGTTGAGTGTTTTGAACGATTGTTGTAATATCTTTAGTGTGCTGTATAATGAATGTATCTCGTTAGCTGTATTCCTGTCAGTCAATCGAGCTGTATAACCATATCTTTTCACCATTCTGCGTGCAGCGAGAGGGATTTCTTTTTGACTTGTTGTTTGGTACACTAAAAAGCAGAAGCTTTACTACTACCTTGGCTTTTTTTGGCGGTGGCTATGTGTCAGGTGCAAAAATGACAAAAGATAGTTGACGAAGACGAGATTCGAACTCGCGAGGTTTCCCACTGCGGTTTCGGGTAATCTGATTACCTAAACACAGCGCCTTAACCACTCGGCCACTTCGCCATCCGGTTGTTGGTTGATGATTTTGTGGGTTGAAAATAAAGTATATGCTAGGTATTTTGTACACCTTGGTAAAGTCGACGCCAACTCATCGCGACAACATCACCAAGCAATTTTGTTCCCTTGAGGGAAAACCGAAGGTCCATTTCTAGTTCACCTATTCTGAGACAGGTGCCACTCGTTGCTCCCTTGCGTTCCCAAACAAGCGACTCGACTTACACGGCGACAGGAAACATCGCAACTAAACCCATAGGTGGAAGACGAATCACCCGTCGACAATGGACTTCTTTCCTTGACCTATTGTTGCAGTCCGAGGACCCGATTCGACCATATTTACCTCTCGGCCTCCCAAAGTGCTTTGGAACGACCGAACACTTCCTCCTCCGGCAACGCGCGACGGAGTCAAGTCCCCCGTCCCTCCAACCCCAGACTCAATTTATACAAATTAACCCTCCAGCGGGCATCTACCCCACAAACCACCAAACAACGGAGCAAGAAGCGATGAATTCCGGGAAGCTCATGGAAGGAGTACCATCGAAGGAATTCGGTGAGAGGCAGCCGAGGGGGGGGGGTGTTATTTTTTTTCATTTCTTTTGCTTAACAAGACATTAAATAATACCCATCTACTTTCATTACATGAAAGATTCACTTCTACTACGCTACAATATTCTTAAATATTATAAAA